TATTATCTTCATCATACATTGACCAATCACTTTGCTTTTCCAACCACTTAATTCAAATCAAAATTACCAGTTTAGCCTCTAAGGTTTCAAATTTGTGTTTATTTAGTAAATTCAGCATATTTTGAACCTTTTTAGACTTTCAATTTGATGTGTCTAATAGGTCGGTATTACTAAATTTGTTAGGTTAATACTCTTGTGTCATACTTATAAAAGTATTATTTAAGAATTATATACACCCGGTTGAGTTATATTGGGTTGCTGCCAAACTAATATTTATGTAAACATGAAATTAAAATGTTTAAGAATCAATTAGAAATTGAAAAGACTGAGGGGTTTACTGGTCAGCAATTATCATTTTCTTATGGCTGTTAGATTTACGACAAATAAGAAAGAAATGTTGAGGACAACGGTATCCTTTGTATGATCCACGATGGTATGATATTGTCCGTTTTGAACATAGCCCTCAGGGTTTTGGTTTTGGTTTCGCCCAAAAGGTCTCATATCAATGAAGATAATTGTCTTCATCGATATACCATGGACCATGCTCTTCCCTAACCAATATGTGTGATTTTGTTTGTATTCACGTTACAAACTCAACAAGAAGATAGAAAAAAAGAGATAAATGCTCATCTATTCTTAAAAATTTAAATTATAAAGACCAAAGATATACAATTGGACTAAACTTGTAATTCTAGATGACTCCCATCCGACGGATGAGGTTTGCATGTCGGAATTGAACCGACACCAACTTGATTTCAATCTCTTTGCATGGGGAGTTGAAAACCCAGAAACACACTTTTTGAATTTTTGGTTTATTTCTCAACCCCACAAACACACACACATGTGGAAATTAGGGTTTGGAGACACCACACTCCATAATAATAATCTCTCAATCTCATCATCTTCCCCCACAAAAGCGAAACTTTGTTTTTGTTTTCACACGCTCCCCATCTCTGACTTTTTTTTTTCCCTTTTCTTCTCTCTAAACTTCTCTCTGTCTTACCACGTCACCCCATTATATTATTATACGCACAAATATGTGTTGGTAATTATATGTGTCGAATATTATTGTATTTGGAAGTAGGGAGTACAGAATACAGATCAGAAATTTAACTAAATTAAATGACCATCCTTAACCCATAACCCATGAGCTTGCGTTTTCTTTCTTTGTTTCTCTCTATTTCTTGTCTCTGCAAACTGCCACGCCCACTGTGTGTGTTGCGTGCAAGCTTTTGGCTGTGAAAACTCTCTTTCACTTTCACTTAATGGTACGATTTCACTACTCTACTCACATCAGATCCTATCCTATGCAACCAAAAACTATATCTAATACTTATATACAATGCTACCAAAATTATACAACAACCCACTTATTATTATTATTCCAATTTTAATTTCACTCGAATGCATTTCTTGCTCTAGTACATGCCCATATTTAAGTTCAAGTCAAAATTCAAGTCTATTAGAAATTTATATCAATTTGAATGAGGGATTAATTATAAATTTACATCAAAATAAAAACATGCTTTTTATGTTAAAGACTCGATCTTTATATTTTTCAAAGGAGGGATATTGAATGAATGCAAAAGAAAATGTGTTATGAGAGTAAAAATGGTAAATATATATACATTAGTTTGTGTTGGTATGTTTGAAAATTTGAAATGGCCTAGAGAAATGGGTTTGGTTTTTTTCTCTTTTTTGTTTTTCTTAAAAAGGTAACTATTATTTATGTGAAGAGTAATTAAAAGAGATAAAAAAAGGAACAATAAATATTAATCCCTCGAGTCAATCCAAAACTCACCTTATTTTGCCCAATATAACTAAAGCTTGCAATTACTATCCCCCCACCCCCACCACCGTTTTCCAATCAAAAAACCTTCAAATTGACTTTGAAAAAAAAAAACCCTTCTCTAGTTCTCACCCCTTATTTATGTTTTGCAACAACCTTTCGTATTAGAATAATCCCATTACTTATTTTCTTCCTCTTCACACCCTCTCCCCATTTAATATCCTCAAATGCAAACCCTAGAAATTCCCAAACTTAATCTGTCTATAAAATTAGAAAAGAAAAAAACTTTGGAGATGAGAATTAAAACCCACTTCGCAAAAGCTGAGTTCTGTGGTACCCTCTGAGAAAGATTCTAATTTAGCACCCAGCATGCTTTCCTTTCCATCTTCGATTTGCTTCTTATCCTGAGGAACTTTCTTGTACTTTTTTTTTTCTCGCGACTACTGAGTCCCCCAAAAGCGTTTTTTTTCCCTTTCAGTTTTAATATAATTTTAAAACTGTGTAAAAAAAGAAGAATTAAAGATCACCCTTCTTCACTTCCTCCTTTATCTTACTTTATAACTTTTTTTTTTTTTGTCAAAGAACTCACACAGGCGATTCCTGTTGTGGGATTCAAAAAAAATTATATCTTTCATCTCTGATGTACTCAAATTAAATGTTGTGTTAGGGAGATGGGACTCTCTCTCTTTATTTTTTTTTTAAATTAAAAAAATAAAACTCCTCGGGGTAGTTGAAGAGGCTATAAAGTGGTGATGATGCTGCGTTTTGGCTTGAAGAGGGTGTTGTGAGAGTTGAGAGTCAAAATTCATAGGCAACCAAAAAGGCAATTTTGCTTTTCTTTCTTCTCTTTGTGTTTGTGTGATTCCTTTTATTATCATTTCATGGCTTCGTCTAACAGACACTGGCCTAGTATGTTCAAGTCCAAGCCCTGCAATTCTCACCACCAATGGCAGCATGACATCAACCCTAATCTTTCTTCCTCCACCAATTCCTGCCTCAGATCTGCCCCTTACACTACAGGTTCTTCAATTTCCCCTCCCTTGTTCTCTTTTTTTTTTTGTTGTTAGTTAGGGAATAATTCCTTTTTTTGTTTTGTTTTTTGGTTTCAGTTGGTGGGTGTGAAGAGAGAAGTCCGGAGCCGAAGCCGAGATGGAATCCAAAGCCGGAACAAATCCGGATTCTTGAAGGGATTTTCAATTCCGGGATGGTGAATCCTCCGAGAGATGAAATTAGGAAAATTAGAGCTCAATTGCAGGAATATGGCCAAGTTGGTGACGCCAATGTTTTTTATTGGTTCCAAAACAGAAAATCCAGAAGCAAAAACAAACTCCGGCACATCCAAAACTCCAAATCCAATAACAACAACACCCATTCCCATTCCCAAACCCAAACCACTCCTCTCACCGCTACCGCCACCGCCACCGCCACCGCCACCGCAACCGCTACGTGTTCTTCGTCTTCCTCATCCGACAAATCTTCTCCCAAATCAGCACCCACCAAAGCGTTCGTCTCCAATTCAGCCACCGAGAACTACCTTCAACAACCCACCAGCGAGGTCCTGCGGGAGCCGTTTCTCTTCCCGGCGTCCCATGGAGGGCAAGGGCTTTGCTTCTCGGAGCTGTGCAGTGTGGTGCAGAATAACGTTCCAGAACATGGGGTGGGACCGTGTACTAGCCTGCTGCTGAGTGAGATCATGAGCCCTTCTGAGCCCTCCAAGAAATATTTGGATCAGGAGAAGATTATGGTGAAGTTACAGCCTCAGTTCATCAATTCTTTCACTCCCTCTCTTCCCCAAACCACTATTTCCACCTCCCTCTCTCTTCCATCACCCACCAATTCAATTCCAGGTAGCAAAATTTAAATCCATTTAAACCCAATTTCAATCTACACCTGTTTTAACCATTATGTTAGGTTTAGATTTACTAGCTTTTAGGTCAAAACCTTCACTACTTGCCTAATATAGTTTTCTTAAAAAATAATCAGATATTCGAATCATCAGCGAAGTGATACTTTTGATCAATTGAGCCGAGTCAAAACCTTCTCTTTAAGAAAGCTATATATATTTTTTCTTTAAGGAATAGAATCATTGTAAGTAAAAGTTTGAAAAGGTGGAGATTTAGGTTATTGTTGGACGTGTGCATGAATGGGGAGGAATAATCGTATGCGTGCAGGTGCAGGAATAGGTGAGGTGTGCGGAGTAGGTCAAAGCTGCGTGGCGAAATCAACGGTGTTCATCAACGGGGTGGCGTTCGAGGTGGGTTCTGGGCCGTTGAATGTGCGCGAGGCTTTTGGTGATGAAGCCGTTCTGATTCACTCCACTGGTCAACCCGTTCTGACCAACGAGTGGGGCCTCACTCTCCATTCTCTCCAACATGGCGCTTCCTATTATCTGGTTAAATTAAATAATATATATATCATCTTATTTTCAATTACCATTTTTAAATTTCAAACTTTCGTTTTTCTAACTTTTTTTTTTTTAATTTTTATTGGCAGATATAGAAGGAAAGCACTGGAATTATGAGGAAGAAGTAATAGGAATAATAATAATAATAATAATAATAATAATAATGATTTTATTATTATTATTATTATCATCATGTAGCTATTTTGCTGTGTGCCTCTCTTTCTCTGATAATTTAGCTTTAGGGTTTAAGTATGTGAGGCAATGTAATTTGTATCTTCTTTAAGAAATGGATTTTCTTTTTAAATGTTTGCATGGCGATTCTTGGTTAAAGAGTGACGTTTATGGCCAAATTAGGTGATATCATTTTATGTCTTAAAGTCTGCCAGATTTTTGGGACTCTTTTTCTTTGGCTTTTGCAGTTTCATTTGAGAAATGAAACCCTAAACTACTCTAAAACCTAATTTCAGTTCAATGAATTAGCTGTGCCTATATTATACTTCGGTTACTTTTTGCTTTTACCACCTTTAACCAGTATTTTACGCAAGTAACTGCTGTAATTAATGATACTTATTTTTTTTTCTTTTATTATCAAATTCATAAACTTTTATTTGTTTTGAAAATTTCTCGCTTATTATTACTCATATTGTCATTTGGTGATCATTTCAAAATGAATTTCATTACTGATACCAATAAACTTTAATGATTCCTTTACTCATTTAATCCGTTCGATGTGTTTGCTTTATGACAACTTTACCCATTCTTGTAATTAATTTGATTTCAAGTTGCTCTAGCAAATAACCCTTTTGTTGATTTTTTTTTTTAAGAATTCGGTGTAATGCTTTTGTATAATATAATTGACCTGCATTTCTCTTATAGAGAAACTGAACTATTGAGCTCAAGCAAACCAATAAAAAAGAATAACAAAAACAAGGAGTGAGAACTCCAATTTACTAAATATTTCTTAGTTTGTGAATATGAGCTTAACTTAGCGGTTAAGATATCTTACTTTTGTTTTAGAGGTCGAAGATTGATGTTCCCTAGTGATGACGTAGTGGCAAAGTTCTGTGCTTATCACAGACAACGAGTCTCGGTTATAGGTATCTACAACATAAGACACATGATATTGATTCCAAAAAATTAGAAAAATAATTGTTAGGAGGGATATCGATCGAATCATTAACTTTTAGGATAGTAGTAGGTTCTTTTTATCCACTTGGATATATACTCCTCGAATTGGCTATATGTCTACTTAATACATTATAAACATATAAACTTTTTATTTTTTTTGTTCAACAACATATGTAGATGTAGATTTGAACCTACGATATTGTAGTAGATGATACATACTATAACTAGTTGAACTATGCTTAGATTAGTTTAAACATGTAAACCTTTAGAGCAATGAACATTTCATATATATATATATATTGATCCCACCCTTGTTATTTGGACTAAATTTGCTTACATTTATATTTTTGTAAATGTACTAACAAAAAACCATCTTATGATGTATTACTTTTACCTAAAACCAAGGTATAAAAGAGACCTAAAAACTTGATCTTTCTCACCTATCACAAGGTTTTTCTTTACCTTTTTTTTTTAAATAAAAATAAATTAGAATATAGCATAATTACATAACTGTGGAGGCTACCTTTAATTATTAATTGGCATTTCTGAAAAAGTACATAATTACTGTATGCCAGTTTTTGTTTAGTACAAGAAATTTGTCAAAATTCTCATCATCACAATATTTATTATGAACTTAATTTTCTCACTTAATAACGAAATGTAAATTTCAAATCATACATCATATATTTATACGATACCATATACTTTCAATTGGTTAAAATATATATATATATGATCAATCAAAAAGTCGACGATTCAATCGAAGACATGATTGGAAGATGGAGAGAGAAGGCGAAGAAATATATAAAGGAATATAATAGGGATATAGGGTTTATGGTCTTAGGTAAGACAGACAAATGAAGAGAGAGAAGTATATTGGGAGGAGGAATGGTGTGTTGAAAGGGAAAGGAATTAATGTTTGAACAAAAGTTAGATTTGAAGATTTAGAAGGCAAAAAAAAAATATTATGCACAAGCAGAGGCAGAGGCAGAGGCAGAGAGTGATTTGTTACGTGCACACTGGTTCCAACAGTAGGATTGGATTTTTGACTGAGTTGATTTTGATATAACACAACACACAAATGACAAATCCTCCCCCTCTGCCCAAATTCCCTCTCCCCCTCCACTCCAAACATACTCATACTGCTCTTCTGCTTTTCTTTGCTTTTAGGAATGAACCCATCCAAATTTTTTAATTTCTTCTTCGTCTTCATCATCATTATGCCCCGTACAATTTCCATACCCTCTCCTAAGTCCTAACACCTACAGTTACGTTTATGATCAACTGTAACTTTCTGGGTTTGTTTCAGTACAAACAAACAAACAAAAAGTAGGTTTGAATGGGATCGCAAGAATCAGATCCAAGGGAAGGCATGGGTGTAGGAGTATAGGCACGCATAGGGTGTAATGAGTGGCAACAATAATATAATGTGCAGCTTTTATATATGTGTATAAAATACAATGGGTTGAGGGTTTTTGGATTTTGGATTTGGCAGCTCCAACAGTTGAGTTGATTGGATTGTTCTTCCAATATCTGCCACTTTTGCTTTGTCGTCTTCCTCATCACCTATTCCATTTTGCCTTTCTTTTCTTTTTTGTTCAACTTTGAAGGTCAAGGTATGGATGTGGTCTTCCAGTCCCTTAACCAATTGAGTTGAACAACCACTTCACACGTACAGCTTTACAAACACGGTTTATATGATTAACGAAAGTGGTTTATATCAACGTATTTGGAATTCCAACTCATAATCATTTGGGAGATGGGGTCTTTAAATTAACTGTAAGATTATATCTTAATAATATAATTAATAGGAGAACTTTCTTGATTTCCCCCTTTTATTTATCTTTCATATATATATTTATTTATTATATCATCTACATATCTGATTAAATAACAATCACTAAACAGAATTTGATATACCTATATGCAAAATTTCTTCTACTATTTGTCCTTCAACTTTTCCGTATTCTCGTAATAGATATTTTAAAATACTATAAAATATACCTTGATATCTCTCTCTAAAGCGATAGAGAATTGAATTTGAATGTGTCATATTTAAGCCCTTCCAAAGTGAGACTAAGAACTTTATCTCAAGTGAAGCAAAGAAGTTATTTGTCCCATTTGAGATGTAAAAATTGTTTGATCGAGCACGAGGAACAAGTTCAAGAGACTTGATGAAGTCACATTAAATGTCACTCGACCATCTCGAGTCGACTAGTTATACCAACACCCAATGTGACGATGTAAGATAAGGGCATAGCACACACCACCTTAAGCCATTGAAAAGCTTCCTGCAATGTGTTGGTAGTCATCATGTTTTGTCCAACTCAAGATTCGAACTAAAATTTCAAACTTTTTTGAACAAGGTAGTGTATAACATCTATTACAAACTCCCATATTTCTCCCTCCGATCATAGAAACCTGCCCCTATCAATCTAACAAGTGGGAAAGAACTATTTTTCGTAATAGCAGTTGGATTTCTCAGCTAAACAGTCCAACATTACTGAGAAACGCCACATGTGGAGCACTGTTTCTGTCTCATACATTATCACATCTCAAATCATCCATCACGAATACTTCTTTGTAAATTCAAATCAGTCCATCAAAAATCTCTCAAGGTGGTGTTGTTTGTCCACCATTGGAGTGGGAGAAGCATTTCGCATCGATGACAGATTCTCGTGGCTTAAGGCTCAGATTTGGGACCCTGCTTGGCCAGAAAAGGTTTTATTTTCCTACTCTCAGACTTTGCTTCTCTTTCTTCCGAATGGCCCATTTTCAATATGGAGATTTCAACGTTCTACATGTATAGATGTGATGATGAGTTAGACTCGTTCCACTTCCATTGGAAGAGTACCCATTTGATTCTCGGCTTTGGATGTTGGGTCAAGTGTGAACTCATCTACGAAAATACCTGCAATATTGTATTTGAAAATGAGGACAGATGGTTGCTAGAGCACCAAAATCACACCAATACGCCCTCCTATTGTAATTCCTCTCGTCAACAAGGCAGATTTTCATCACCTTGGTCTGTGACATTGAGTCAATGCATGGGAAATTCATGCATTTCCATAATTCATACTATTAAGTCAAATTGATACGGCATAAACTGGGTTATTATGTCATCACGAATCCAGTTCATGCATGACATGGTCTACTATGAACTTGAGATTGCTAATAGGTTTGGGAGTAGAACATTCTTTAATGAGAAGCAAGTTGTTGCTGTTGAGTTGTCATAGCTTGGACATTGTTGCATCTCCTCCTATGGGCCATTTGTTTGACTATTGATCTGCAGACCAAGGAAGGGGCGAAAATAATCAAAAAGCTACTATGTTTTTTCTGCACATTCCTTAATGAAAAGAAAACATTAAAAAACCAACCGTATACCATAAACTTTTATTTGCTATGCAACTGTGTGTTGGCAAGTTTAACTTTACAAAAGGGTAAAAGCAAATATAAGGAAAACGAAATCAGGACGCACAATATTTGCAGAAATGATGAGTACTTCCAGTACCAAGGCTTTCTGAAGATTAACAGAGCCCAAACTCTAAGCACGGTCATCCACTGATGCGGTGGTGAGCAAAGAAGGCTTATTTTTCAGACGACCACATTCCTCAGGCACTGATTATGCTAGAAAAGCACATCAATGAATGTATATCAAAATCAGATGACAGTAGAGCAGCAACATTCCTCACAGCCAATGAATTTCAGAACATGAATAACATCTATTAGTTGCTAATTGCATACTAAAGTGAAGCTACCATTAATCACAATATATCAATTCATTAACACAGCTGACCCTTTAGTACTGGGACTCAGACAGCATATTCTTACGAATATATTTTAAGGCATCACTAAAAACAAAACCAATATTGATCACCAAATAAGTTAAAATCACTTGCACTGCCCAAAGACTTGATAAAAAACCCATCACAGGACTATTGTTTCGCTTTACAATTTTTTCACATGATACAAACTTCGTTTGATAAGTGACGTATACATTACAAAGGCACAACAAAGCTTACAAAATCCATGGTGTTAACAAAAAAGGCTACCTAGTTATGATCAAAGAGATAGGATAGTTACAAAAAGGATTTGAGAGAGATCCCTATAGGAAGCCACAAAAATATAAAGTCCCAAGCATCTCCATCTAGAAGACTTCACCATAACTTTGAAAATTCTTTTGGTTCTTTCTAACCAAACCTCCCAAAGACGGGGGAACACCACCGATCCAATGGGACCTCTTCCTCCTTAAACTTCTTGTTATTCAACATTTGGAGAAAAAGAAATTCGTTAGGTTATTACGGGGCAAAAGGTCAAAAAAAATCAAATCATAAACATCAAAGAACTGACACTCGGAGAATTAGCAGGCAGATTCCTAAAATTCTCTCCACAAAACACACTAGTTGGATAAGATATAAAGGACATGATTTTTTCTTTGAAAAATCTCATTTGTATTAATCCGATAAAATATTTGGCACGGTTCACAATTCTATGAATGTTAACTTCTAGGATGCCTGCTCCTTCGGGTGATACTCATAAATTTAACAGATGAAACTGAAAGTATCCCATCAGAAAAAATCGATAGAACAACTTGGCTTCAGCTGCGACTCGAGAAGACTTTGCTAATACAACGACGGAAGCTACATAGCTAGAAATTTCAGTTCGTGGAAAAGCATCCATTTGATACCAATCACGCTTCAGTATTAGACCTCCTTCACAATCAAACCCCGTTCTAAGTGGCATCACAAGAGTACATTGAACTGTTAAAAAACTTGTCAGGATGCGTGATGTTTGGTACCAAGAGAAACCATTCCTAGGAACTCAGAGCATATATGAGAGAACCCCTTCTCACTCAGAAGCTCCAAAATTCTACTTAGCCATCAAATAACATCAATACAACCGACCCATATGGTAATAATCAACCCGCCTAAAGTTAAACAGAGGATTTAAACAACCCCAACATCAATAATTCGATAAAGGCATTTACACAAATGAAAGACAACACTCACCTAAATCCAGAGTCAAAAACTCAAGGACGAGCTTGTTGTGAACCGGTGGAAGCGGAGGAGGAAGGCGAATTGGAATCCTCTTGGCGCGAGGGCAGAGGATTGGAACCCTTAATAATCCAACCGAGCGTGAAGAAGGAGATCCCAGCAAGTATAGCAGTTCCCCAAGCGTGTGAGTACCATTTGCTATACTGTTTAATGGCAAATCTCCATTGATCTCGAAGCGTTGCAGGGTCCGGATTCTGAATCTCCGGTGGGTTCGGATACCGGACCCTCTGGCCTGTGAATTCGGCCTTCGGGCCGCCGCTACTGATTTCATTCGGAATTTTGGGAGAAGGAGAGGGTCCACTAGAAGGATTGGATTCCGTCATGGTGTTGAGCAGTAATTTTGCTCAAGAGAAGGAAAAAAAGAAAAAAATCACTTCTCAGTCCTCAGCTATCTTCTTCTTTCAGCATCAACAAAATCGTCGAAGTCGGTCCGCCTCCGCACAAGAACGCTTAGTTTACGAGGAAACGACGTGGAAAAATGTTGTTTTATTATCTTGTAAGAAATAAGAAAACGGGCATTCTCATTCTTTATTTCTAATCACTTTTTAAAATATCATTCGGATAAATCTCAATTTCATACGAATATCAATAAAAATATCGATAAATTGTCACATGTCAATAGATATTTCTGTAAAAGTTATAAAAATTAAAAAATCATAAAAAATATTTCAATTAACGAATAAAATTTTTTCTATTTTTAAATAAATTAAAAATAATTAATTTAATATTATATATATATTGGTGATATTTTATTAATATTTTTCATATTTTGTTAATTTTTTTTTATTATGATTGAAATATCGATTTTCCTCTCATGTCAATGTCAAATATCAAATCATTCCTGAACAGATGAAAATGTTTGTTGATAGATATTTAGAACAATGTTTCTAATTACAAAAAAAACTTCTATTTTTCATTTTTATTTCTTCTTTATAAATATATATATATATATTTCCTTTTTCATATTGGATAAAATTTTTTATTTCTTATTTTCTAAAATTTAAAAATGAAAAAGTATATATGAAAATTAATTATAATTTAATAAAAAAAAGTGATAATAAATTTTAAAATAATATATTATACTTTAATTTTTTTTAGTTTTAACAAAAATAAACGAGTTTATTAATGAAAATAGTATACCTATAAAAAAAATTATCTTTTTTTTAATGTAATTCTACATTTTAAAATTTTAAATTTCGATACTAAAATCATAAAAATGTTGTTTTAAGAATTTTCGCTATTTGAATTAATGAATCAAAAAACAAATCTGTCAACGAATATGAAAACAATAAACAAAATTCAAATTGCATATGAAACATGTCAAACGAGGAAACATTACCCAACACCTAAACATCCTTTCACAAAGATGGTTCCTTCCTCCACAAAATAAACACCACATAGTAGATTGCATTCCAATGATTTACTCTGAGGTTTTTTTTCCATAGTTGCATGAAGAAGCAGGAGGTATTAAAAAGTGCCTAGTAATTTATATCCCTCCAAAAGCAAGTAGAATAAACACTTTATCACCATACGCTGAGGGATAAGGAAGGATTTTCTCCCTTGTGGACAATTTTCAGCCATCCAAATCCAAGGTTGATTCTAACTTCTAAGCAAATCATTCCAGCAGTATTATGGGCCAATATTTAAAGAAGAAAACAGAAAGATATTCTAAATTGATAAGGTATAAAGGCACAGAGAATAAAGGCTACTACTAATGCAGACCAGCGCCATAAAAACATTAACCTAGTCCCACATAATCCAGCGCATATGCTAATACTGAATGAAACCTCTTATACTGAAGAAGATATCAGAAGTATATTGCATAAATGTAAAACAACATAATACTATGGTCACTTCTGTGCCAAATAAGAGAGTTACTTGGTTGCCTGGTCACAGACGTAAAACAACAATATTTGTCTAGGCAAACTAGAAAGTAAAATTGTAGAGAGAGTACATATTGTTCGTCCCAGGGAAAAGAGCTTGGCGAGTCCTTGGAGCTCATTTGCGAGCTTCTGCTTTCTTCTGTTCTTTGGCTGGAAGTGAGGGAGAAAGAGAAGAGAATGAGTTTCAGTTTCGATATGTCAATCTTATGGTGAAATATTACTGTCAAAACAATAGTGCTCTGTCGTATATATTACCGGCCTTTTCTTCCTCTCTTTTTTTAGCAGCTTCTGCCCTTTGTTGACGAATAAGAGTCAAACGTTCTGCATAGCACACAGTAAAATCAAATTTCAATATCAGACAGTGGATGATAATCCTGCCTTCAAATTTTGTTCACAACATTCAGTAGTTACCAGACGTCCACAGATAATAGTTGCTAAAGGAATTAGCATTGGCTCCCCCATGATATTTTATCAAAGTGCATTTGAACCAAATTTATACATTTGTAAACATGAATGACACTGAATACCTTCCTTGAACAGGATCTATTCTATAGGTTTTACAACTTTGTCCTTGAGTTCTATACTTATAGTATGAATGACGCTGAATAAGTAGTACATAATGCAAATGCAGCTGCATGCAATAATTTTGAGCATTTCTATATGTTTTTTTCCATTTTAACTTGGGGAGAGGCCAGAGGGTAAAAAGAAAATGCACATACCAATCTTGGATGAGTTGAAAATAAAAAGGATTCCGTCTTCAGAGAACATAGAACGCATATTTAAACCAGGCAGGTGATCATTGACAAAGTATTACCTAAATCCTTCCTAGCTTGTTCTGTTTTCCCTTGTTCTTGAAGCCTCATGTATCGTTCATGAGCCTTTTGTTTCTCTATCTCCTCTCTGGAAATAAATAAACAAAACATTATAAGTTTTGTCCACACCCAACTCTGTACATTGCCATAAGCCCAAAATAGCTTTCAACCAGATTTATTTCCAAAATAAGAATCAAATAAACTTATGTAAAATATTCCTTAAAACAAAGAAAGTAGAGCTTGTAACAACCTTTCACGCCTTGAAAGTTCAGTTGTTTTTCCAATCTGCAAAATGAAGTGAAATTACACCTCTACTGTAAACAATATTCAAATTGCAAGATCATATGTAAGGATGAAACTTACATCAACGTCTCTGGCTTTCAAGGTTTTTGCCTTTACCAAGTTAGGATTTTCAATCTCAATAATACCTTGAGTGCCTTTTCTCTGGCAGAATTTGACAATAAAATACAAGTATTGATTCAGTCTCGCTACATAAAACAACAAAAGATGTAGAAAATTAGACTTCTTGATAAATAATTGGTGATTGAGTACGAACTCTAGGTTTATCTCCCTGTTCATCAGATTCATTTCCAGATTCTTGATCAGATCCTTCCTCAGATTCTTCCTCCTCGTGTTCAGCTTCTACCTATAATACTAAACTAAATAACTAATGTGCACAAAAAGAAGTCAATTGAAAGAAGAATATCATGCAGTTGAGGATGCAGCTACTGAAGAAAAAGTTGCAACACATCAATAGACAAAAAAACAACTGCCACATCGTAGGACATACGACAGGTCAAATATTGGCTTAATAGCATCTTTGGTAGATTATGTTGGCAGACGTGAAGGGAAGTGGGATCTCCGTGTTTGTGTGTCTATGATAGAGAGCTTGAGAGAGTACCTGTCTAAAAGTGCGTGGACGAGTGGAAGTTCCGGCAACTACAATAAATTAAGAAACTGTAGTTAGCAATGCAAATTTCGGTCGTATTAAACTTTCTCAGCTATGAAAAATGTTTAGTTTTGGTGGCAGTTGTCTTAAAGGAAAATCTAAAGAACTGATTGTAAAACAAAATTTGGGTTTTGCTTTTGAGAGTTGATTCCTCGACACCATCCCTCCCTCCCATCTTTGACAGGTTTTAAGAAGCAATCCAAAAATAAAACGCTTTCAACTCTGCAGTAGTAGTAAGTTGTGTAATAACCAAGACCCTTCATTTAGATTATAAAATTTCCGGACTCCATAATAAAAAGTAAAACAATTTCCGCAATCAACTAAGCCTAGATCTCACCACCAACCACCTCCTCGTAGTCACAAGAAGTGATCAAGAATAACTGAGTAACATACAAGACAGCTTAAATCACTTATATATCTAGCACCGTTCCAAATACTTGACTCTCTATGTCCAGCACCAGCTTATACCCCACAAAAACAACTCGTTCAAAACGAATTTCTCGACTAAATTATAAAGAATCAAAACATTAGGGCCTCAGGAAGGCGCTAACACTGAAAGAAAAGGTCTCGCAATCTTGGGTTTTTTCCAATAATAAAGTGAACGTGAAAGAAGAGGTTGGATTATTGCTTACGCATGTCTTCAGGGGTAGAGAATTGGCGCCGACCGGTCGGCTTGCTCTTGAACTTTCCTCTTCCCATCGTCGACGCAAACCAGAAGCTTGAAAGTAGAAATTGGACAAAGAAGCAGAAGCAGATTCGACGTAGAATCCCTCTCTCTTTCTTTGTTTATTCGTCGAAGCTGTTCCCTCATCCGCCTTTCCCCCGAGAGGAGAATTTATAGTTGCGTTTGCTTATTTGTTCTTCCCGTCTCGTTCGTTTACATTTCTCGCCAACCGGATTCCCGAAACCCTACCCGAACCGCCACCCAAATTAATCAATAATTGAAACTTTATGTTTTGTTTTGTTTAAAAGTTATTTTTAAATCTTAATTCAATACTACAGAACATGCTTAGACTAATTAAGGTATAAACTTTTTATAAAAATATTGAGGTTTCAACTCTTACTTCCACGCGATGTTGAACTTAATAAATACACATAAAATTTAATTTGTTTTCATAAAAAAATATATTAGGTTATTTAATTTTTTTAATTGTCTGAATTAATATGTATGTTTTTAATTTTTTTTAAATTATTTTAAACTTCATTAGGATTTCAATAATATTTTTTATTCATTAGGATTTCAATAATATGTCTAAGTAATGTGGTTGATTTTAATTTTATATCACTAAGATTGTTTGTTTTTTTAATGAAAGCAATAAAATAAATAAAATATACTGTATCATAGCTATAAATAGGTTTGAAATGGTAATATGAAAGATAAATATATTAAAATTTGTTTCCCAACTATTTTTTAACATAATTTATAAAAATGTAGTTATTGCTAAAACGAGAATARAGTAATGATAATTGACATATATATCAAATTAAGAGATTTTGAATTCGATCTCCACCACATATGTTGTATTAGAGAAAAAAAAGTATAATTAAGATGCCTCCATTTCAATTGAATTTTCATATTTTGAAATAAGAAAGAGAAAATTTATTTACATCCATACTATATTCAAAATGGACCATTATAAAAACAATTCTAAATTACTTGATATGACACTACTAATTAATTTTTAGAAATCCATTCAAAATTAAGATAGACTTAACATTCTAAAAGTCGAAGATTTTAACCATATAACTATTGCTTCATATTTGAAAAATCACAGTTGGTTGAAGTAAATAAGTAGAACAGAAACAAAAAAGATGGGCATGAATCATTTTCTGTCAGTATATTTCTATTTTGCCCTTTATTTTTTCCTCCATCCCTCTGAATATTTGTCCTCTTTTCTCTCTCTCTATTGAAATACCATGTTTGTCCTTTAACGGATGAAAATATATAGCCTTTGGAAATTTATTCACCAGGTTTACACGTAATTTTATATATATATATATATATATATATATTATATTACAGGGAGTATTGTATATATTTGTTTACAAGAAGCGTATGGGATTTTCGATGGTGCAAGAATGATATGAAAGGTAGAAATATCATGACAGAAAGTTGGAGGATTATATTTCCATTCAAATTAAATAAATAAATAAACAATTAACCAAAATTATTACAGTAATTTGGGAGGGTATATATGGAAAATAATCCCCAAAAAAGGGAGGGAAGAAAATCTGGAAATCGCTTTTCCGGCCACGGACGAGATGCCATGCTCACCGCTGTAAAGTGAAAACCCTAGCACTCGCTTGGAGTAGGAGGTTTAAGGTCATCTTGTCAATGGCGTTGAGTCCGTATTTTATCCAGTACTCTCCTCCCCGTGCCCTACGAGCTCACCAGCAATTTGTCATACCCTCAATTTATACTTCAAAAATTGTGCTGAAAAACTCAAGGCATTGCTTTTCTACCATCTCTTGCTCCGTTGGGAGGCAAATCCCGACGACAGAGGAAGAGGTCATTCAAGCTGTGCTGGAGTCAGATGAGAAGATTCTTCCTTGCGTTCGGACGTACGAGAATGACTTGTCTCGGCTTACTCTGGTCGGAGGCGTCGATTTCCGACAGTCTGTTACGGCGGCTGCGGCTGATGGCGGTGAAGCCGCCTCCGAGCACCTTGATTCTGGAATGTCTGCAATGGTTGTGGAGACAGTATTTCCGGGAACTTCTGACGAGCATAGCACGGTATCGACTCGGCTGGTTAGTTCATGGTTAACCTGGCTGCGTAATTTGGTGTCATTTTTTACTTCGCATTCTAGACCAAGTGCCATGAATCTTGACTTGAATATTCATTGCCACCTCTTCAATTTCCTTTTTTTTTTTTGAATGAATTCGAGTCCGGGCACGAGTGCATAGACCCGAAATATTGTACCTGGCACGTTAGTATTAGGAGCTGTCATTTTTACTTGCATTTATATATATGTATGATTGATTTTGATTTCCCTATCGGGACAGTTAAATTTTACGTGATTGATATGATATAGTTCTCCATCTCTGATTCTTTGATATATTTAATAACTCCATGACTAATATTTTCATTTCGAGTATTAGGTGGTGTATGAAGTCGGGACTACTGCAAGTCCTATGTAAAACACAGCATCATTACTGTTAACTTTCATACGGTCCCCTCTCTCTCATATTGTATATTTGTTAGATAAAAATTAGTTACCCAGTCGTAGTTGTTCCAAAGTTAATTGTGTTAACAGTTTCTCCCTGCCAGAGAAGTCAAGGAAAAGGCTAGGAAGCTCAAAAAGTCTCTCGCTCAAGATATTCATTTGAGCACTACATCCAAAAATATACTCGCTATGACATTTAGACAAGTAGTATTGCAGCAGCTTTGGAACTTTGAACTAGTTATTTTTAAACCTGGATCTGAAAGGAATATGGAAGATCTTGAAAATCTGAGAGAGGTTTGTCATTTCACCTTATTTTCCTTTATTTATGTGACTTGATTTTATATTTGTTCGAAATATTGAAATATCACATTAGTATGTCTATGCTGCAGGTTTCACATGATACTGATGGGTTCAGTTCTCTTATGCATTTCATATCAGCAGGTCCCAATATCTTTCACTCTCAGTTCATCAGATGAACGAGTCATCTCTGTACTTGCAGAGGCTGTTTGCATGTGTGCTCTTCAAAATACCGAAAGAAAATTTGTCAATGATGTATCAAGTGGAACTTCAACTAGTTTTTTCGATTGGTTTCGGAAGTCCACGATTGTTGCATCAAAGGAATCCTCAGTTATTATCTACAAGTTATTTGACAACGTGGTAGCTGATGCCAAGAGTCTATTACAAAAGTTCAATTCAAATAAGGAAAGCTGGAAACATAGGAGTTCCAAATCGATGAACTATTGGTGGATGCCTTCTGATCTCACTGAACTAGAAAAAATTGGCGGGGCTGAATTCAGTGCATGGGCAAGTGAGTATGTACCCTCTTACAAGCTACAAATTGATGCTCATCAGTACAAAGATTTAAAATTTGGAGGCTGGAGAAAATCTGTTGAGAATAGGTGGGAAGTCCTTTTGACCCACTCCCAAATGGTATTTTAATCTTTCCTTATCAGCAGCTCCCCTTCTGTATATCTTTATGTGTCAATTGATGGTAGTTTCACTCTTTAGCATAGTTAAAGAATAGAATGGTCATGCATGTGATGGCATCCCCTCTTGGAGGTGCACCTTTAGCCCGGGGCAGTAATAATTGTAAACATGGGTTAGACACTTCCATTTCTTTACATAGGTATCAAAACTGAATCTTATTAGTTTTGATGGAATCAAGGTTTATCAATAACCTTAGAAGCATAAACACATACAAAATATCAGCACAACGATACTCCATTTTGCAAGGACAACAAAATATTATCTTTATATACTTTTTCATATTAACAAGATTGATATAATGATTTACATGGTCTAAATAATTAAAGACACAAGCTTGTATTCACATCTATTCAGTTTCAAGAAAAATTGAACATTAAAGTATATCTCTCCATAAATATAATATTTTTGAATTTTGACCACTTCTGAAGCCACTTCATCAAATTTTATCAAGTATGAATTTTTTTTTTTATTTCTTTTAGTTTCTATAGGTTTTTGTGCATTTATCCCTGTATATCTCAGTTCCTTGATACAAGTATTATTCCATGTGTTACATGTCCTCCACGTTTCCACAGCTAGTCCAAGATTAAAAAGTCTAGTAGTTCAAGATACGTTTGACATGTCAGATGTAGACACTGCTTCCATGCTTTTTATTCTATTACTATCTGACCAATCATAATGCAGGTAGGGTTGGCGAACATATTAGATGTATTCTATGAAGATGTATATTCTCTGCCCAATAAACAATTGCAATGTGGTGCAACTGTGCATTCTGCTAACTTGTCGAGCAAAAAGGTATCTGCTCGGATGTACATAGGTGAAAGTTGATCAGGATACATTGGTTTCATTTTTTGTTTCTTTTAGAAAAAGGAAAAATTGTTTACTATTGAAATATATGCCAACATATTTCAGAGAAACTATTCCTCCTGGGGATGGCTATCCAAGACTTTAGCTGGTGGAATTTTTCTTGTCCTTATTAGTGTTGTTGGTCAACTTCTTCTGCCTCGGTTGCATGTATCTAGAAGGTATAATGTAGAACAGCCCGTTACATCACTCTATGGAGTTGACTCTGTGAAAGATCAGGTTGTAGAAGCTGAAAAGGTATTCACTAAACTGTTACGTTATCTACTGATCTTCTGGCTCATTTCATTGAGCTTAGTTTTATAATGTGTGGATTTTGTCAAAATTAATTGTCAGATACTTTTCCATTCTCAATAAAGTTCGTGTATGTTGATAGTTTCTTTTCCTTTTTTTTTGTTTGTTTCTGTGGGGGGAGGTTCTCTTCCCAAATCTAAGAATCATTCCCCTCTTTAATTTATATTTTGTCTCTTGATCCATTATTTAATATGTGAATCTCTTGTTGATAGTTGGAAAAATACTGCATCTCAATTGTAAGAACTATAAAAGATGCCTTTGGTTGGCGTGGTGATATACACACAGAAAAAGGGGTTGGTGCATGGATTGGGGAAGCTCCTGATTACTTGACGGTGGTCAAATCTGATAGTGCTGCTCCATCTAGTACGATAGACCAAGGCAGTATTGATGGAGTTAGAGCTACTGCACAGGATATAGCCAGCTATCAGGTGATTTAAAATTTTTATGTTGCTTTTGCTTCGCAGCCTCTGAAATGGGGACATTTTAGGCAGTAAACTTGTTGCATAATTGTTTGCGTTGTTTCACCATATGTTAGAAAGTGTGCGATGAATTTGTTTGCTCAGTGCAAGTAGTGAGACTGAAGCATGCTGATAAAGTTTCCTTGACCTTCATTGTACTGGTTGTTGTTGTTGTTGTTGGGCTTTGGGTAACTTAGATTTGGCATCTATGATTCTTGAAAACAGGGGAAGGAACTACCAACACTTCATTCTACACAGCAGGCGCTGACTGGGCGGCAGAATCATAAATTGACATCATCTTTGTAGCCTATCAGCTGTATTTTTATGCCCTTCAATGCGAACCAATTAACAGAAAAGTTTCACTTTTTAATTCTTCTAACTTTCCAAAGAAATAGAACTGATCTTTGGGACGATCCTTAAAAACAGGGACTTCACAGAGAATTCACCCATCAATTCAAGTGTTCACCTGCTTTTATCTTCTGTTTTAGGGCTGAATCCATTCAGCAACTCCAATAGACAGCCAAAGTCACTAAGTTCCACTTCATTCTGATTGTTATCCTGTATTTACTTAACAATTTCCAAGAGGAAAATACAAGAATATATGACCTATCGTTCCAATGACTAGTTTGAGAGGGTTATCTATCTCTCCCTTGCCATTGTAGACTTCGCAAAAAGCAACATCATACCTGGGCACAAGGAATACTTTGTATATAAGCAAAGCAGTAAAGCAGAACATAATTAACCAAGAAGTTGTAACTGCCTCCTTAAAACATTCAAACATAAAGTAACTAACTAAAATTGCTCGCAGAAGTTTTCAGGCTGAAACATTCTCCTTTCTTTCACAAGTAAACTTTCAGTACTGTAGGTCTAACACCTTTCAAACTCCTTCAAGTCAATATTTTCCAGGACTTGGTTTCCTCTTCCCAGGCAAGAACTGAAATCTCCTGTAAAGTTGTGACAGCAAAAGAAGCAGGAATGTCTCTCACTAAGATAAACAAGGAGTGAAAAGCGCATCTCTTGTCTTAAACCCCTTCTGATTCCTGAGGTATGAATTATAAATATAGGTTTTCCGTTAAGAAAGATACAATATTGTGCCTAAAATCAAAATGCAGCTCCAAATCCAGTTTAGGCACTTGGAATCAAAACTCTCTCTTCCTAACTGATAGAAGGAATTTCCAGTATACCAAGGCTTAAGCTTTCTCCGGATCTAATTTGAAATTCTTGCCATTTTTCTCTCATCCTTTCCTCAACTACCTCGTTATCTATCTCAACTTGATCCCTTATTTGTCTCCCTCCTATCAATGCCATTTTATTTATGGAAACCTTTGAAGCGATCAACTTTTTAATCCTTTCAACAAGAACATCCGCAATTACTTGAAAAAACTCCATTTGTCAAGTTAATGGAGCTTTGGAAAAGATACTAAAATGACTCCATAATGTCTGGTTTGAAGATGTTCCAAAACTCTTTAAGACTAACCTTCACCTGCTTAAAAAAGGTTCTTCTGTATTAAATAGAACCTTGGTTGCAATCTGAAGACTCTGCTGAAGACACGCTTGAAATCAAAAGCTCTCACACTTTAGTAAATTGATTATCTAATGCTTATGGTACCTTTCGTTTATATATTATTTATTGCTCACCTGCTTGTTAAAAACTTAGGTGGTCTTGTCGACTGATGGAAAGATAGTAGGATTCCAACCAACTAGTCGGGTTGCTGTTAACTATTGGGCTGCAAATCCTTTAGCAAAGCAATTGTATGGTGGGAGGAATTTGTCGCCAGGTAAGTTAATTCTTAGTGCGTGTAAAATTCGTCTCTAATGAATTGCCATTGACTTGTGCTTTTATCTTTCTTCATATGAAGCAGGCTTTATCGAATCAGGGCTAAAGATCAACCGCCCAAATGAGGTGATTGTGATAGAGTTGCTTATGTCGGTGAAGGCTGATGCCTGCTTTGCTTTGGTGAGGCCCGCAAGTTAGTCAATACCCGGAGTTTGCAGGCAGTATTTGATATGCAACAACGCCAATCCTAACGTGAAACACTCCAGATAGTGCCACTCGCTGTTAATCTTAGGCATCCAATCTCGACCATTCGCTGTATTTCACAGGAATCTCCGTTGCTGGGGTCTATAGATAGTTATTTTATTTGAATCGTATAGGTAGTTTTTTTTGTATCGATGACGTAAAATTAGTTTTTCTTTTTCCCTTTAAAGTTTAATACAGACCACTGTAGGCAACAGTAGGTTTTATTAGGGCACAGCTTATGTTAATATCAGCCTGGTCTGCACATGGACATATTGCATCAGGGAGATCCATATTGCCTTTTATGAAGTGAGATTCTGTCAAAATTTGTTCTGCTCCCTCCCTCTCTCCCTCCCTCATGGGTTGTCTGTGGAAAAGTATTCCCTTTCCTCCAAAACAAATAGGACTGACAATAAACCAAAAGGCACCGAGATGTAGATCAAGATTGCATCATGTGCTGAACTGGCAGTGATGATTGTGGTTTTGAATTTTGAAAAAGAACTTCTAAGAATATTTTTACAAACTATGATAGGAAGTAGAGAACATATTCAATGCCCGAGCTTGAATACTTGAAATTTATAGCTTGAGACGAACGAATTCATGTTTAAATTCTAAAACTTTGATATAGAATTAGATTATAATGTAGTCAATTCTATATAGGAGAATGAAACCCTCCTTTTTGGGAAATATATGGTGGTTCATTTATTTTGTAATGCACATGTTTCCTCTAAAAGAAGAGTTGGGATGGGATCCTGCCATCAAAAGAATTAAACTCATTGGCTTCCAATTAAAAAGAAGCATTGTCGGGCTAGAGAAGAATAATTAGGCAGTCAGCAAAGGACCCAGAAAAAGTATTGGACAACTATTCGAACAAAAATTTAGCCTATTTGCAAATGAAACCTACAAATACTTACCTTCCGTTGTTCTTCAACATTTTAAAGTTCAATCAAACCCACTTGCATTCAGAACGTCAAAGATGGTATCATTGAGAAAGATTCAACAAGAAATAATTCAGCAAATCTACATTTTGGATAATGGTTAACAAGGTTGAAACCTTCGAGCAATATACATTTCAATATCTTGAGAGATGACTGAAAAGATTACTCAAGATGTGTATGTTGACAATTGACACCAAATAAAGTAAAAACTAGTATTATCCGCATACATAACATAACATAATGTAGGCAGATTACATTTTGAGAAACCCGTATGCGACCTAAACCATTATTCGAGTTCGTAACACCATACATCACTAGTTTGTATTGTCTCTGCTCAGTTACAGTGACCAACCTCCTTCCAGAATATACCAACTGCAAGTTGTTAACCCAAAATATTAAGGAAACAATCAACTTTACCGTTTTCCTGAAGTTAGAAGCTCCATCGTAAAGGATGTATCCGCTGCAGCTCCCATGAGATGAGTATCAGATAGTATACCATGATAGAAAAGGGAAAAAAATTAGTTATTTATGTTACTTGAGGCCAAAAATAAAAACCAAATTCTGGAAGAATGAACCAAACACTCGATTCCATCATATTTTGATGAAACCATCAGAGCATGCAATTCATTCGACGCCTGACATCTTAACTATGTCAGGTAATATTCACTCAAATTCTCCACCAGGTAATCATATTGTGCATGAAGCATATAGTCATACGTTCCATTTGGTGGCAGGGCTCTATTTACTGCGGGGTACATATTTCCAACACCAACTCTAGTATTAATTTTGGTCCTCCCCTTCACATAGCGTTTATTATCAGGAAACTCTGCAGTTAGTCTCCCCATCTGCCTCTGTAAATCAGCAACTGAATCATTTGTTACCTTTGCCTTAGAACTTTTTTTCCCATCGACAAGTTTCAGCTCCAATCTATACAAAGCACAGGCATCATACTTGTTAATTTCATATTCATAAAGATGCCACTCAAAGTGGTTCAATGGCTGAGGATCCATGTAATAAGATCTCTTGAGCCCTCCAAACTCATTCATCACTTGCTTTCTTGACTCGTGCCAACCACGTCCACTGTAATCAGGCAATGATCTCTGCTTCCTATTCCCACTTTCAAATGCTCGGCGAGGTTTATCAAAGAAAAGCCACTCCCGAATCATCTCACCCTCCAATATTGACAGATCAAAAAGCTCTGCAATATAAGAAAGAGATGTTGGCTAAATATAATTCAAGCAAGCATATTTGATAATTCAATACAACCTGTTTGAACTATAACATTTCAATGCAAACACATACCAGATGCATACAGAACTTACCAGGAGCATTCCAGGGGGATTTTGCAGTGGCAGCTCCCTCACATTCAGGGATGCCAACATCTTTTCCTTGTGACTTTGCACTAAGAGCAGCAAAAAGCAAACCATCCTTCAGACCAATACCACCAGGTCGTAAAACTGGACCCATTCCAGGAGGGCCTTCATTCAAGGCCAAGGCAGCATGAAAACTACTACAGTAGTCCTCACACCAATCCAACCCTTGGGCAGGTCGTGGGCAATCCCAAAGTGCACATTTTGGGCCTAAGAAAGCAGCAGGGGGAGGGCATATGCTAGGACAGTAGCTAGAAACATGAGAAATTGCACCCTCACCACACAAACCTCTACCATTAAGGAAAGAGTAAAAGTTGTGCTCAATTCCTTGATGTAAATCAAACTGATGACACTCCAGATGTGTAGGTCCTTCCAAGTTATTCATAGCCATACCATGAACTCCTGAAGGGGAGTTCTTGCATTGATCGACTAGAGAGAAGCTTGGTTCTTGGTGTACACGATTCATGTGAAATCCCTGAAGCAGGTTAAGTAGAAATATGAAGAACCTATAATAACAAGCATGAAACAAGACAGGTGTTCAAATTTACAAGACATTACAACTTCTTTCAATAAAAGCACAGCAGACTAAAATAGAGGAGAAGGAGCCAACTTCACCAACAAAATTCATATTCATACAACTTATTGAGTTTAAACACATTGCATGGTCAAAGTCCAGATCATGAGGCAAGAGATAGAAAACCCCATGAAGGGCAAGTATGAATAACTCCATGCTTGTATCCCAATGGTCATCTGTGTTAGAGAAAGGACGGTCAGGCAAATATGGTGCTGGAAGCAAAATTCTAAATTCACCAATTATTTTAGTTGATATGCATGGGGCAACTTCATAAGAGTCTAGGTGTTGAAGGGAGCTCACTTCTTTGAAATAATTCCCATATGTAATCTAATTGGAAGCTAAAAACTGATTATGGACAAAAGACACATTGCAAAACAGGAAATAAACTTTTTTCTACTAAATAGTAAAAATAAAGAAAGACAAAACAAAACAAAAATGAGAGAGAAGTTTTCAAGTATCTTTTGCAAAAACCAGAATCAAGACAAAAATAGCATTAAAAGTTCGAACCAATTGGAGCTCTCTTCTTTGGTTTGAATATACTCCAGAACATCCAACAATTATCAAGGACAACAGTTATAAAGGAAAGAGGAAAAGATAAACTGAAACACGAACTATGTAAAAACTATACGTAAAATAAACATAAAAGAATCCCACCTCTTGAAGTGCCGTAGTATCTCCAACCTGCAGATTTTGTTCATTAGGCTCAGGCTTAGGAGCAGCTAATGGACTAGATGCATCATCATCCTCCTCACAAAGTTGTAACAATCGACAAATGTCTGATGAAAATGACCCAAGACTTCCACCCTAAGTCAAACATACACTGAAGACATCATTATCCAGAAATGCATGCCTTCTTATTGAAGCATTCACCGCTTAAATCACTTATTCTAGCTGTTGTCCTCAATATCACATACATAAATTATGCAGATTATCATATTAATCGATATCCTTCATCTTATGCACTCAAAAAGGAATTCAATATACAATGCTAACTTGTTGCAAAGAGGAAGCTGGAGAGGGCTCGTTCAGCTCGGCTTTCCACTCACGAAGCATCTGATGGACTTGTTCCTCAAGAACTGCCACATCAACTGTGCGGCTCTCTTTCCTTGCATATTGCAAATCTACAAATATGCTTTGCAGATCATCGACTCGGTTCTTTGCCTTATCCTTAAAGAGCTTGTGGGAAGCCGACTTGCAACTGGTCTTCGAATGCTTTCCCATTACAGAATTCTTACCTTTTCTTCTAGCCCCTGCTAGTTCAGCCAAAGAAAGTACATGTTAGATAAAACTTGTGGGAAATTATCCATTAAATTTCAGCAGAGAGCAGCAAAACTAACCGAGGTATATTGATGCTCGGAAATTCATTGAAGGAAAAGAGATCGATAGAATTAAACCAAAAAATCATAGAACACATACAATCCTTTTAAAGCAAGTTCAATTCAATTCAAAAAAAAAAAAAAAGAAAGAAAAAGAACCCCATAGAAGGGGAGAAAGCAAATTCAATTTCAGATCAAAACCCAACAGAGCAGACATAAAATTACCGAGGTACTCGCAGCTAAATTGGCAGCAGCTGAATCGAAAGCCCTAGTTCTGAACAGGGCTTCAACCTCCCACAATATGGAGCAAGAAAGGCAAGGACACCTGGTCGAACAAGAGAAAGGAAACAAAAAAAAAAAGTGAAATATTCGCGATGATCGAAAAGCAGATGCTCTTCACTTCAATAGTTCAATGCCTTCGGTGCCTCAATTTCATTTCAATTTTTCTTCCCTCTTTTTTTCTTTTTTCTTTTATTTTCTTAATTTCTACGAGAGAGAGAGAGAGAGAGAATTAGTGTTAGAGAAGAGTTTGGCTTTTGTGAGCTGCTGCTCTGTAATCACGTCTTCTTCTTTCCCTGTTCTCTCCCACCGCTTCATATTTGCCGCAGAAAATTAAATCATAATTTCCCAAATATATATTAAAATGACACTTTTTGACTCTTTTGTTTTAGTTTTATAAGTATTTAATTCTTTTTTTGTTTGTTTTTTAATCTTAAAATAGCTAAATTACAAGTTAAGCGCATGCATTTCAGTTTTCAATTCTACTGGTTCTTCGAAATATTACAATCCAATTTTCCCATGCGGAATCTAATTTATTACCAACCGAATATTCTCTTTCTTTTGTTTTACTAATAAAAATTACTGATTTTTTAAATTTATTTTAATAAATAAAAATACAAATACAAGGGTATATTTGAGATTACATTCTAAAAATTAATCCTGCTAAGATTAATTTTTTTAATATATGTCAATTACCACTAAATTTTTAGCTTGTTGTTTTTTATTTTAAAAACTATTAGAAAAAGATTGCATATTTATTTACTTCTATATAATAATTTAGAAATTAAACACTGTTAAGCCAAGTTATTATTCAAAAAAAACTCAGGATAATTACGAACAACTAATTTAGATGACAATCTTCTAAAAAGATATGATTTTTATATTATGCTATCTTTAATTTAGAAAACGATTGAAAAAAAAAAAAACCTAGCAAACTTATTCACTATACAAAATTACCAAGCCTAATTCTAACTTTTTTATTCCGGAGCAAACAATTTCATCCCATCGTCCTCTATTTCAAAAATACCTCTATCCTTTCAAAAATTTCAATGCTACCTCTCACCTTTTCATAATCGTTTTAAAAGTAGAAATATTCATTGATAATAATATTTTGAACGAAAAGTTGACATGAAAGAATTTAGAACCATGTGATAATTAAATGAGATAAATTTGGGACATTGATTGTCACATTAGTTTCGTTGTTTTAGATTCTATCACATCAACTTTCCCTTCAAAATATAGCAAATTTTTACTCAAAATATATTTTTGAAATGTTTATGAAAAGTTAAGATAATATTGAACCGCAAAATAAAAGGTGAAAAATAAAAGAAAAAGTTGAATTTTTTGTAATTTAGACTAATGTATATAGCTCCACTTCTCTAAAACGTGATTTTCAAACCATTCCTAAATAGCTTCTACCTAAAAGCTCAATTTTTCTGTATATGGGTGTTTCAGTCTAAAACATCATTATTGAAATAAAGAGAAAAATCTTTAAAGAAAACCAATAAAAGGTGAAAAGTTCACCCTACTGCTTTGCATAAAGGACCAGAATTTTATGGTGATTAGGAAAACAAGACATGAAAAAGACAAGCTAAAACAAAGGCTGAAAATGTTCACACACAAACAAAAAAGGGATTAAAAAAATATGATATGCTGAGAGAAAAACAGAAGAAGAAAGGAATAAAGGACATTTCCACTGCCCATCATCTAGATTCTCATGTTATCTCTTCCAGATATCTAAGTCGGCTCCACACTCACAAATATAAAAAATAAATAATAATAAAATCAACATCAAAAATTTCGGATTGAGATTAATTGATAATCCACCATAAAGATTGAAGATTAGAACATAAGAGGGAGAGTTATCAATAATCAGAATAGCTGAGTTAAAGTTAAAATGAGAGGAAAGATCAATTGTATCACAATCAATTGGTAAGGATATTAGTAATCTCTTTAGACGTTTTTAAAAGGAGGGGTGGGATGCATGTATCTTGAAATTGAAGTCAACGGGCCCTTATCCAGAGTGAAGCCAACAGAGAAGTTACCAATCAAAACATGGAAAAGTAATGTTCCAAATGGTTCTCTGTGTTATAATGACCACTTTATCAAGGAATAATAACTAATGGACAAGAATAATTTGATAAATTTTTCTATAGTTGGAAACATCAGCTCATATAACATGTAACAATAGTCAACAAAGTAGGAATGTTATAAATTTCTATTCATCACAAAAGGAATTGGAAAAAGAGTGATGCTGATCACTACAAAATTTAGAATTGTAAATTACAATTGATCCGCAAATCCCCTTTTTAAGACCAAAAAGAAAACACTTGTCTATAAAGAGGAGTAGTAATATTGAAGCACTAATAAGGAGAGAGAGAGAGAGAGATTAAAGGGAAGATGGATATTTTCCTTTAAAAGTTGAGGTTAGCTTGTGAGGGAAGGCTGAGTGTAGAGTCATAAATCACATAATTGATTTTGGAACCATAAAAGCAGATGATTAGAAGCCATCATAGCTAAAATCTTTTCATTTAGTAGATACTTGAACAGTTTATACCCCCATCTATTGCAGGGTAAAAGACAATTTTATTTGAAAAATATTCATTTACAGATGTAAAGGACTAATACCAAAAGCAAAATGTTCAAAAATGAAGTAATGTCAAAAGAATTGGGAAAATAAACCTTCTTGGTGCTTTCACATCACTTGGTGGGCAAACTTGCAACTTAATCAAGCAGGCTTTGCTGAATTCCCACTTTCCATTTGAGCATGTTTGAAGTTCAAAATACCACCAAGACCTCGTCCTCTGGCATGTTGTTCCAATTCTACAAGTTTATGCTTCAAAAGTTCCACTTCTGTTAATAAGCTTTCGTCTTTTTGCCTCAGTGCCTAATACAATAAAACCACATCACAGAAAATTATAAAACGGGAAACCTTTTTTCTTTTGGAGTACAAGAGAGAAAAAGCTGAACACTACTGGATGGGTGAAGCTAGAAGTGGTGAGGAATATAGGAGTTGATTCCCTAAGGGAATAAGTCCACTTTGTCGTCCATCCCTGATCAGTCATTCCAACAATAGTATTTCTTACGGTGGAAGAATCCATTTTCGATACGGCATAACCTTACCTCAGTTCAACTCCATTCAAATAGGTTACCACAGGAAGAGACACAAGTGTAGCACTAGTTTTCTGAGGTTCATATTCTAGTAACAGATATGTAGAGTCCGTTTGGTAACATTACCCTTTCTTATTTCTGATTTTCAGTTTTATTGAAAAACTTAAACATTTGCAACTATTGATGTTTCTTGTTACACATGTTAACGTTCCCAAAATTGTATAGAAATTTTAAAAACAACAGAATCAAGTTTCTTATTTCTTGTTCTTGTTTCTAATTTTTTTCCAAAGCATAAATAAAAACATTGTTTTATCATTTTTGACTAATAAAGAACGAAAAATAGTTACCAAATGCAATTATGTTTATCTTTATTAAAAAGGAGGAAACGAGAAACGAGAATGCTACCAAACAGGCCCATAGTTTCTTAAATTTATGAATATCGTAATTGATGTTCATTGCGTTAATTGCAAGTCCCACCAACTATGAAAGTTTGAAACAATCCTTCTGGAAAATTTAAACTCACTTCTTGTTCATATTATCAGCAAAATTTACCATTCATAATGTCTGAACTTGAAGAAGCTATAAGGCTTATCTGAATACTGTTTTCAAATAAAGATCATGATTCAAATGACTTGTAAAAGGTAATGTTATTACACATGTTGAAATTATTATTCTTAAACTAAAATTTCAAAAGAGTTTTTTTTTTGGTTAAACAATCAATCATGAGAACACAATAAACAAATATATATATATAAAACATATTTTCACTGGATCTTATTCTTTTCTGCTCTGATGGCACTTGATAAAATAACTACGTCATTACCTCCATTTCTTGTCTGCGTATTTCCTCTTTTCTGGCTTCTGATCTAGCACTTCTCTGAACCTCAAATACGACTATCGCTCCTGCTACCTATAGATTTCCAGATATTAAAACGCGAGAGAAATGATCAAGAAAATGAAGAGGTGAAAAGTTTGCAAGCAGGCAAAACAAGCAGAATAAGTCAAACTCCCAAGCAAGGAAAAAAATTATCCTCTTGATATTGTTCGTCAAAGGATTGTATTCCAACCCATGATGCAACCAATGGTAGATGGTAAAATCAACCCAAAATAACTGCTGCGACACTTAGTCAGCATTTTCTTAAAATAATAAATAAGTATGCACAATGATTCACAAATGAGCTCCCAGTTTCCAATTACAAGATCAAATATCCGTGAAATATATAGTTGATTAATACTTGCTGCAAAAGCCTAAAAGGTCAAAAGCACATGCATGCTATATAGTATGTTTCAGTTCACAAATTATCTTAACCAAAAGGAAAGGAAGTAATGCTACTTGAAAATGATTATTACCGAGAAGACAAAAACCTCGCCAATCAGGTCAACAGCAGCCTGAACTGCTTTCTCCTCATCCAGGGGGCGAATTTCTACATCAGTTGCATGACTATAGATGCGTCTTTGCATTTGTGTTGTCATCCGATGGTTAAACTGTCAGTTTTAGCATTGAGGAAATACAACCATTAGAATGATTCATAGAGTAATGTACGCGATATACAAGCTTAGATCAGAACCCTCTTTAATCCTGATACCTGAATATCTCCATAAACAATCAACACAAACTAACACTTTGAAGATTATACTTCCTAAAGAATCTACAATTAGGACAAACTAGAACTGATCGCTTAAGACAAACTCCATTGCTACAGGAGGGCTGGCACTCATTGATGATGAAGCTGAAGTCTGTAAAGGAGAAACACAAAACCTGGAATAGAGAAGTATTTGGGAGTATTCAATCGACTTAAGTGGATATTACTTAAGAAATTTATTCCACTGGTAGCTCTTAGATTTAAAAAAGGTTTACTTCTCTCTTAAGCCACAGATACAGAGGCTTCCCTGTAAAGAAGAGATATTTTGGCACCACGAAAATAAAGCTGCACTCGTTGAAGCAGGGCAACGAGAATTCTACTTCTTTCTACAAAATTATTTCCGGTAGGATTAATAAAACCTCTTCTCCAGCATCATCCTTTCAAGGAAGGACCTGGCTTACTTTTTGAGAATGAAGTCGTTACAGGTTCCTTGCTTATTTTAAGGCTCTTTTGAGATGAAAGATTATTACCAGATGGAATGGATTGGATTGGAGGCTTGGAGGCTCATCTCTGAAAAAGATAGTGGCTCAAGAGAATGCTAGATGAAGAGAAGATTAGGAAGGTGGTCTTTCAACTAGATTCTAGTGACACTCCTAGTCCTGATGGGTATACGGTTGAGCTCTTTGAAAAGGGCCGAGCTACCCTCAAAACCAACCTCTTGTACTTGTTCCACAACGTTCTAAAACATGCATTATTAACCTTGGTATTGATTAAACTCAGACCTTAGGTCTTGCTACCTATTCATGTAAAAAATGTCCTTGTGTCCTGGCCAATGGAATGAGAACATTTTAAACTTGCATTGCTTCTGAAGCTAAGTTTGCAATTAAAAGACAGTGTCCAATTATTGTTGCCATCTTGGCAGTTAACAAAGCAGTGAATGAGCGGTTTAGAAAGAAAAAAGAAGAGCTGGTTTTCAAACTAAACATTAAAAAATAATAATAATTAAAAAAAAAAAGCTTTCCTTCATGCTTCTCAATGAAAGCTTGGTTTTTCGATTCAATCGTCAATAGTAAACCAAGGGGTAAGATGTTAAGATTTTTATTAATTTTTACTTCAATTTCTGTTTCCTATCAGATCCTATCATAGGAGATCTCCTTTTGGGGCTTATTCTGCAAAGAAAATGCAGAGGATACGTTGCAGCTTTTCCTCCAATGCTCTTATCAGCTAAGCCTTAGGTGGAAACCTTGGGACATTTGACTTATCATGTGCGTTCCCCGACAGAATCAAAGGTGGTTTATCTCAATTTTTGTATGGCAACCCCTCCAAGCAAATAGCTAGTACTCTGTGGCAAAATTCTTTTAATTATCTACAGTCCGAAGCGTGCCTAAAAGAGACTTTCAAGAAATAGAAAGACATTCAAATGAACTTTGGGAAGCAACTACTATGTAGTAGATTTGAGGGCTTTTATAAACTCCTATGCTAGCTTTTGGGAGAACTTTGTTTCCTATTACCAATGAACTTTGTTTCCTACAGAAAAAAAATTAAGAAGATGAATTGTAAGTGAATGCACAAAACAAAGACAAACATGCAACATGGAGCTTGCTATCATAAGCGTGAAGCTTGAAACAGCACAGAAAATATATATTACAGTTACACCACTGTGCGTTAGCAGTACAGCCTCCTACAGAAAAGTAGACAGTTCTCACGACAAAAAACAACACAACTAGAAATTTGCGTCTATTTGATTGAAATATCCTCTACAGAAAACCCTATTGGTTTAGTAATTACCAAATTCAAATCTCATCTGGGTGAAAACTGCTCCGAGTATAGAATCGACCTATAAGGTTGAGATGGCTCTCCAAATGAAAAATAGAAATCAATGAAGTAATTAAGATGAAAGTATTTAATGAAAACAAGAGAATTTGAAACTAAATCGTTGGTTTTGCTTTAGATCTACTCCCCACGTAGTACTTTTACCGTTCAACCCAAAACAAAGAGGACAGGCAAAGGAAGCGTTTCATCAGACTAACAACTGGTAGAGATATTATCTGTGAAGATAACATGCACTAGGCATTCCTTCCACTCTTTGTCAAAATACCAAATAATCCGCTGAACACCTATAATGAATTTTCTTATTAATCTTTTAGAACTCGATGATTAAATTTACTAAAGCTGTAAGTTAAGTATTTTGGGTCTGATTATCAATGTAGATTAGGTTCAAGGTTCAAACTTCAATATGACAGTCTCTCTTCCAGAATAATAGTCTTTGATGAGGTCAACACTTGGGGAAGAGCATTGAAAATATATGAAAGATGATCAATTTACTATAACCCATCAATTTAAACTTTTAGATCTAGTGGTAAAATAAGATATTCAGTCTAAACCATCTCCAGAGAACGCTCAGAGATTTTAATACACAACGATCCCTTTCAGTTTGATTTTGGTTAACTTACATCTTTGGTCCTTAAAACTTACCCCTTTAAAATGGACGAGGATAAATTTGAAGAGCTTCTTAATTTCATTTTAGATGAGCATTCAAGTTGTTCGAATGCTTCTTTAATTTCATTTGAGATGGTAAGTTTGAAGAACTTCTTAACCAACGGTCACAACTACTTGAGGAGAAGGTAACGCAAAAATGAATGATCAGAACAATAACTGGAAAGTAGACCATGAAAGGGGCACCGAATATTTGTTACAATAACAATAGCTGAACGACTAATGATCTTCTACAAATCAGTACATAATAATCCACCATAGAGATCTTCTATTTTGTAAAATGCGAACAGATGCGTAGGTAAGTATAAATACATACCTGGGCCATGTTAATGATGAGCTGCCTAAATCTGGGGTGCCTCGCAGCTTGCGTCTTGAGCCTGTTACCGAGTGGCTTGCTCAGAGTTTTCAACGCGAGCGTTCCGAGCTTCAGTAACGGGAGAACCATGCTTTTGCTTTTGCTGTTGTTGGGGAACTAACAGCAAACGGTCAAAGCAAATGAGATTCGTGTAGGGATCAAATTTTGTGAAAGAAGACGAGTGATTGCTGATCGATCGAGGATTGTGGCAGAAATGTGGAATAGTTTATGTTCTCCGGGAACAAATTTGACGAACTCCGATTTGGTAATTGGAGTGTGGGACCAACGGCGACGAGATGGAAGTCGACTCGATGACTTTTGATTCCATTGGCCGACGCCAACGCCAACGCCGACGCGCTCCAGGCTATCAAACTCTGAAGCCACTACCAAGAGCCCATCAAAGCTCGCATTTGTTTAATCCGCACCGCGTTGCGTTTGTTGGATCTTGGATTATACATATTTTCAACCAATCATGAACTTTTAATTTGATGACTAACAAAATTTTGACCTATTTTAGGATCTC